CGGGGGGGCCGGGGCCGGGGGCGGATGTCACCTTGAGGCCCTCGCGGCGCCGCTCCGCCTCCCGCCCGCTCCCGCCGCCGCCTTTTGTCTGAGCCGAGCTGGAGCCAGCGCGCCCCCCTTCCTCCCAGCGCTGCCGAGCCCCGCCCCCGGCCCCCCAAACTCCGCCTTCCCCAAGCCTACCTAATAGCCATCTCCCAAAGCGGAGAAGCAACAGGGGCTCCCCACATCCCTTCCCTGATCCCGACCCTGCTCCCCGCACCTCCCTCCCGCCCATCCTGGGAAGATCTCTGCCGCAACTCCTCTCCATCTATCCTCCGTGGAGGGGGCGGCGGAGGTTCAACCAAAGTCCCTCCCCACCCCTAGTGCCTGCAAGTTCCTGGGGCTGAGGGGTGGGGAGGGGAAATTGAGTCTTGGAACCCTAGGAAGGTCCTTATTCCCAGTTGCGTGCTAAAGGGTTACGGCAGGAACCAGACTTCGAGAGGGATGGAGTAGAGGAAAAGGGAAGAAACTGAAGCTAGATTGAAAAAGGACTAACAGAGGACAGAGGAGAGGACATTGGAACGGGCTTTCATGGAACCACCTTCCTTCCCCAGAAGAACAATCCCAGAGAAGTGGTGAAGTATGTGCAATGCCCCACACTGGAGGTCAGGAAACCTGAATTCTAATTCTTAAACTTGGCTCTGACATTAATGAGTTGTGTGACCTTGGGCAAGTGCCTTCCCTTCTCTGAACCTTAATTTCCTCATCTGTGCAGTGAGGAAGTTGACTGGACAATCTCTAAGGCTCTGACCTATGGTCGTAGGAGACAAAGGCACAAACCACAGGACAGGCTGAGTGACTGCAGGCAGCCTAACCCTTCCTGCCATTCATCCCCTCTGCTCTTCCCGGGCATCCCCTAGACAGACAGGAGGGAAGCTGACATTCATTCATTCATTCATAGATGCATCCATTCATTTTTCAATAATCAAGTATTAGACACCTACTCTGTACCCTATATAGAAATGAAACACAATTTCCTACCCCCAAGGAGCACAGTCTTATGAGGAGGGGAGGACAAGGAAACCAGCCATGATAGAATGTGATAAATGTCATGGATGATCAATCTGTGTGTGCACAGTCACTGTGGAATCCTACTGTGTGTCATTAGGGTCTTTGACATATAGTAACTGTTCTCCCCGTTTACCCACAGGGTACCAAGGCAGAGGGAGGGTGAGTGACATACTCAAGGTCACCTGCTAGCACTCACATAGCTAGTCCTAACCTTCAGATCTTTCTCATTCAAAAGTCCATGGGGTATATTTGGAGGTAGGAAGGTTGCTTGAGGCAAAGCCTGTGTATCTGATCTTTGTGGATAGGGTACAAGCCCACTGATCTGCACAGGATGTTCCTGCTCCTCATCTGGGGCAGGAGAGCCACTGCCTCCATCCTCCACTCCCACTCCTGGTCCTACCTCCATTTTCCTAGTCTTCCCTTTGCAGGCAAGGTGAAGGTGGTTTGCTGTCTGCTTATCACTTCACAACTAACCAGCCTGCATGAACCTCTCCAAGTCAGTGAATCCATCTTCCTTGCCCAAACAGAGGAGATGTACGGTCCTGAACAGTCAGGGGTTTTCATTCACTCCCATGTCAGAAGAGGAATCTCACTTGGTGGTTCATTCCAATTTCTCCCACCCATACTTTTTGGGAAATCCGTCTCACAGTTAACTCCAACCCTCTTGTTCTGGTTCAGCCCATTCCACTAAGTTCAGTCTTCTCTGCAGACATAGAGCAGAGGTCATAACCTTGGCCTTTCCTAACCCACATAGGATCCGCACACTCCCCATTTAGTTGTTATAATCTTCCTCTTGACATTCATGCCGTCTGCCTTCCCATCTCCACTTCAGAGGCTTTGGAGGAGGGACAGCTCAACTCCTTTTGGCCAACCCCAGAGCTCCCAAGAGATGAAAGACCACTCCCACTCTCTGTTCACACACATTACTCTTCCCTGGAAGCTCCAGGAAAAGGGAGTAAAGGGAGGGGGCGGTGGAAGGAGCCAGCTGACCAGCTGGTCACCATGGAAACCGGGCCTGTTTCCCAAAGATGAGACTAGCTGGGATGGATGGAGGTAGGGAGTGAGGTCATGACAGACAAAGGAAACTGGAAAACACCAGCAGAGAGAAAGAGAAGGACTATAAAGACCCAGCCTTAGAGAAGACTGGAACTGAGAAGACTGAAGACTGAGGAAGCAAAGTCAGGGCCCTTGGCCACACTGCAGCCTGAGTCAAAGGCCTCAAGTCATCCTTCCAGATAATACTGCCATGGTCCCTCTCCCCATTCCTGGAGTGACAGGAAGGCTTACTGTCAGTGCAGGCTCTGGTGCTGGAGATAGCAGCTGACTCAATGCTGACCTCATGTGGTCAAAAAGGGGCTGCTATATACCTGCTATGGCTCGGGGCCAGACACCTGGCTGGACTGGGGTGAGTTTTTCCTTAAATTCAACTTCTGTATGAATTAGAAGAGCAGTCACTGCACATTCCTGGGTTCTTGTGTGCTTGAAGAGGGCTCAGATGCCCCCACCCTATGTGGTTTAGATCTTGATAAAGGAAAGAAGGTTTCACTGAAAAAAAATTGAAAGTTTTGGATTAGGTCAGGAGAACCTGGCTCTGCACTCTCTGACTGTCTGATTTGGGCAAGTCAGCTCACCTCTCTGGGCCTCAGCTTCTCAACATTAAAATAGGGATGATAGTGCCAGATTTTGAGCCCAGCTGGTCCTGGTCTGGAGTTTATGACTATACATTTGCTCCAGCCTTTGAAGATGGGAAAGGAACATGTCAAAGGAGGAGGCTGAGAACATCTGAAATCACACTAATCCCAAAGGAAGGAGATGCGTCCATTTCCTTGGGCTTTTCCCCTCAGCACCCCCACACTCCTCTCTCTCCAGTCACCCCCAGAGACTAGGTTCTTCTCCTCTCTCCTTCCCTCTTCCCTTCCCATTTTTAGTTCAGATGGAACCATCTCTGCCCCTCAACCCACTGAGTCGTTGGTACCATTGTGTACCCCCATAACAACCTGTTCTCACTCTTCTCTTAGCACAGCGACTCTGCGATGTAATTGCCAGAGAGCTTTCTGAAGGCCGGAACCATGGCATTTTTTTGTTGGTGGTGGAGGTGGTGGTGGTTGTTTTTTACTGTTACTGTAATAGTCGGTTTTGCTTCCAGCAGAGAGAACAACATCAGGCACATAGGAGAAAGTTCATATGTGTTTGTCAAATTTGTGAACCGATGGATGAATACAACGAAGTTGCAGGAGGGAGTGCAGTGGGGAAGCTGGTTAGTAGCTGTCTATAACTCACCCCAGCTTCCTTTCCCCAATGCCAGAGATGGAAAAGGTAGATGTTCCCTTGGGGATGACCATCTAAGGGCATTGTGGCCCTAGGTGGATGGCACTTGGAGTAAAGGGAAGGAATAAGAAAGGAGCAAGTCATAGGGCACTGGTTTGGGGCTCACCTGTGGGTGTGGTTCTCCCACAGCCTCCCTAGGCCCACAGAAAGCAGGGACAGGGAAGGAGAAAAGATGTTTTGGAGCTAGAGCTGTGGTGGAGACATCAGCAGAGCACAGCCCAGCATGCCTGGGGCCTCCCCATCCTGGCCCCACCACCAGCAACTAGAATTCCCTGACCACTGGAAGTAAGCAGATACTGTAAACACCCGAGACCACTGTTTTACCCTTGTGAGAAAGAAGAAACCCCATAACTGCTCTGCTTTTTAGACAACAGAGTACCTGAGAAAACCACTTTCCAAAAACAAATCCTCATGTACATTTCCATGTAATCTGGGAAGATAGCACAGGAGACTCTATTCAGGACCCAAGAGGAGAACTGTTTTCTTTTTTCTTCTTTTATTTTGACAGCTGGCCAGAACCCTGGACCTTGGTATTATCAGCACCACGCTCTAACCAACTGAGCTAAGCCCCAGAACTTTGGCCAGCCCCAGAACTGCTCTTTTAAAGATAATAGAGCTCTTTTAAAGATAATAGAACTGGGCTGGCCCGTGGCTCACTGGGGAGAGTGCGGTGCTGATAACACCAGGGCTCCGGGTTCGGATCTCGTATAGGGATGGCCGGTTGGCTCGCTGGCTGAGCGTGGTGCTGACAACACCAAATCAAGGGTTAAGATCCCCTTACCGGTCATCTTTATACGGGATAAAAAAAAAAAAAAGATAATAGAACTGCTCTTTTAAAGATAATAGAACTGGGCTGGCCCGTGGCTCACTGGGGAGAGTGCGGTGCTGATAACGCCAGGGCTCCGGGTTCGGATCTCGTATAGGGATGGCCGGTTGGCTCGCCGGCTGAGCGTGGTGCTGACAACACCAAATCAAGGGTTAAGATCCCCTTACCGGTCATCTTTATACGGGATAAAAAAAAAAAAAAGATAATAGAACTGCTCTTTTAAAGATAATCCCTTTCCTCACCCATACACCTGAGCACTGATGGAAACAGATGGAAAAGCAAGAGAAATTGAGAGAAATGGGCAGAGGCTAGGAAGCAACGCTTCCTCATCCCACCATCCATGTGTTCTCTCCACAGATGCCCAGTTTGTGCAGACTATTAATAAAAATCCCTTTAAAACAAACGAAGAAATGGAAGAAGTGAAGGAAGGAAAGAATGAGTACATAGAATTAATAAGTGTAATGAAGAAGGAAGGGAAAAGAGTGAATGGATGAGTGGATGAGTGGATGAGTGGATGAATGAATGAATGAGTGAATTAATCAACGAACAAGTGAGTCAGAACCCGGTAACTATGGACACCAAGCCTAGGCAGAGGGCGGGGTAAGGGGGATTCCGGGGGGGCGGGGCCTCAGTCCGGAAGCGCCCGTCAGGGGAGGGTCCGAGGGCGGGGCCAGCCAGCGCGCGGCTACTTCTTTGGTCCGAGGGGCGGGGCGAGGGGGAGGGCTAGACTGGGCCGCCCGGCTGCCTGGGGAACCGCTGCGGTGGACGCGGCCAGCGCTCCGAAGCTTGTTCTCGCTTCTCGCCGACCCCTCGGAACCCCGCAGCCCCGGCAGGAGGCCGCTCTGGGCCGGGCGCCCGTTCTGCAAGGCGGATCCACAACCCGGAAAGGCGGCGCGGCAGAGCCCGGCGCGGGATCCTGCTCGGACCAGGCCCCCGCGGGCCAGCGCCGCGGGCATGTCGGAGGCGCGGAAGGGACTGGACGAAGCGGACGAGAGCCAGTATGACTCCGGCATAGAGTCTCTGCGCTCTCTGCGCTCCCTACCCGAGCCCACCCCGGCCCCAGCCTCCGGACCCTCGGACGGCGGCGACCCTCAGCCCTGGACCCATCCACCGGGGACCGCCAGGGAGCCACAGGAGAAGGAAGACGCAGATGGGGAACGGGCTGATTCTACCTATGGCTCCTTCTCGCTCACTGAGCCCCTTTCCTTTCTGGGAGGCCCCGAGGCCAAGGACTCGGCCCCAGATTCGCCGCTGCCCCCTGCGGGGTCGCTGAGCCCTCAGCAGCTGGAAGCACTCACTTACATCTCTGAAGACGGAGACACGTGAGTATGGGGGCTAGGCTGAGACGGGATGCTAACTCTGAGCCTCCCCAGAAGCCGCAACAGACCGGCCACCCCCACCCCCCATGAGGATACCTCAAGTCACCTGCCTGGGAAAGGGCAGTTCCCACTCTCTCTTCCAAACCCCAAGCTTAACTCTCAGCCCACTTTTGAGCTCTAGCCAGGCCCAGGCCAGAAGACCTGGCATCATCTCTCTGCCCTCCCTTTTGGGGCTGGGCAGAGCTGGCAGGGCCTTTACCCAGGCACCTGAAACCCCAGCCAACATCTTGGAAATCTACCAATAACCCACCCCTAGGAAAAGAAAATTCCCCTGACCGGTCCAGTTTTTGGTTGTTTTTTTTTTTGTTTGTTTTGTTTTCTTGCTGGGGGAGGGGGCATCCTTGTTTGCTCAATATCTGGGATTCCCAGCTCCTGACCTCAGTGCCCTGTCTCAAGCAATAAGAGATGCCAGTTACAGGTTGCCAGTTGGGGCCAGGAAGCTAGGGGTTCGGGGGTGCCGCCGGAGTGCAGGGTTGGGGCTGGCCCTGAGGAGGAGGGGGTGAGCCAAGCTAGGACACTCTTGCCCCAGCAGACAGGCGGCTGGCTGCCCCAGCTTACTTCCTCCTCTGCTGAGAAAGGGGAAGTGAGGGTTGGAATCAGCCTCCCCAACACTGTCCACCTCCTGAGTCCCCCAAGTCCCCATCACCATCCTGTCTTACCCTCTCATTTTACCCTTCCTCCCATAGGCCCAGACAGAGTTTGGTGGGGACTGGGCCAGGGGGTAGTTCAATAAGAGGCAGTTGTGTGGATGGGCCAGCCAGTTAAGGACTTGGCTCCCAGGAAGAAAAAAAACACTGAGAGAGGAGGGAGTGGCTGGGATTTGGTGGTGAGAAATGGGGGGGGGGGGGGGGTGGGGGTGGGGTGGGGGGAAAGGGGGGGGGGGGGGTTGCTGAAGTCCCAAATTAGAGATGCTGAAATGAATGGGGGTAGGGGAGGCAGGAGGTGCCTGTCCTGACCTGCTGTTTGGAGATGCAGGGGTCCTAATCCTGGGTAGCAGTTGACAATGATAGCCTCTGGACGCCCCCTCTGGGTGGGAGAAGAGTGACCCCAGGCCTTTTTGTGCCTGGATCACCAGCCCTCAGGCCTAGAACTCCAAGGCTTGGGGGCTCCATGCAAGGAACCTATGGCTGACCTTTGATCCAGGGAGTGGGGACTTCTGACACTGCCCTCCTTTGTCAGCCCCAGTTTGTCTCTAGTTAGAGACAGGTGTGTCCAGATGGGGTGTGTGTGTGGAGAGGAGAACTGTCAGGACTTCCCAGCAGGTCCCCAGAGAGTAGACGGGCACTTTCCTCCCTTGGAGGTGTCTGGGCTGTGGGAGGTATGGAAGTGGGAAGAGGAAGTGGGAGGAGGGGAGACTGAGGGAGAGAGGGAGGTGGCTGCAAGAATGTGACCCAGAGAGCAGGCCCTGGCCGAGGGGATTTCCAGAGCGGTTCCTCCCTCCCTCCGTCACTCTCTCCTGGGCCTCTCCTGCTGCCTGACACCAAAGCCTGACCCCCGCCTGCCTGAGCAGCCCCCTTCCCAGCCCAGACAGTCCTTTTAGCCAAGTTACTCCCTCACTAATTCCCGAAGACAGCTGTCCCAACCTAGACCCTCCAGCTCTGGCTTTCATTTTCCCTACCTGATATGGGGAAACCCCAAGATTGGAACTTACCCTCCCAGCTGCCCCCCTTACCCCTAATTAAGGCTCTTGACCCCCAACAAATACATTTTCTGCACTGTACAGACCTTCTCTTGGAGGTGCACATAGGAGTGGAAGGCTTCTGTTCAGGCCCCACCTGGTCTGTGCTGAGGAGTGGCCTCTCTTGACTCCCCTGGGAAGGGCAGTAGGACAGGATGCTGTGCTGTCTCCTTGCTCCTCTTCTAAGAGCTTCTGTCTCCTTCCCTTGGAATGTCTAACATTGAATTGCCTGGGTTGCCCCACATCTGCCCCGTTCTGTCCTACCTATTGGGGTGGGGGGAGGTGGGGAGCTCAGCCCTGGAAACCCCCTCTGCACTACTGTGGTAGCTTTCATTTTTGGCTTTGAGCTGCAGCTGGCCTGGCAGGGCCCTGAGGGCAGAGAGGAGCGGGTGTGGGCAGGCAGGACAGGAAGGCCCTTGTCCTGTCAGCACCCTGCCCACATGCCCACCCAGCCAAGGCCCTCCTGAAGGCCAGTGATGGGAACTTGGAGCTCCCACTCCCAGGATCCTGGCTTTCCACACCAACTCTCACTTACTGCACCTACCCTTTGGGTAGCTAGTTAGAGGTTGATGTGTTCCTTCTAACCCCAAAACCCCAGCCCACCCTCTCTGGTATAGGCCCTGACCCCAAGCCCTGCCCCTGCTCCCCCAGGCTGGTCCACCTGGCAGTGATTCACGAGGCCCCAGCGGTGCTGCTCTCTTGCCTGGCTTTGTTGCCCCAGGAGGTCCTGGACATTCAGAACAACCTTTACCAGGTGGGTGGAGGGAGTGGTCTGTGCTCAGATACCTGTTTCTGCCCTGGCAGCCATCCCCAGCAGCCACACCAGAGTCCTTAAGCTGCCACTCAGGAAATCATATGCCAGACACTGGACTAGAGCTGAGGATGCAGCCATGAGTAAGACACAGCCTCTGCCCACAAGGTGCTCACAGCCTGGGCTGGGGTACTCTTGTCAACACTAATTACACAGCGTGTTGACAAGAGTTGTGATAGACACATACCAGTGGCTATGGGGTCCAGTGTCTGTGTGTAGCAGCCAGGGCAGGCTTAGTGCAGGAGGGGACAACTGAATGAATTCTTAAAGGAGGAGTTTGCCAGGTGGAGACTGCCTGGTGCCTCCTGTCTTTCCTCCCCCAACTTAACCCCTGCAGCCTAACCCCTGGTGAGAACAGAGGTCTCCCCAGATGGTGAGGGGCTAGACTTTGCTCCCACATGTCCTTCCTCCAGGGGATAAGGGGACCTATAAGAAGAGCAGGGGGGCCACTTCCCTCACCCTGCTTCCAGAATTGGGGTCCCAGGAGCTTGGTGGGAGTGACAGAGGGAAGGGCTTGGTAGTATTTCCTTGGAAGACCAGGGCTATGGCCTTTATAAGCTGCTATCAAAAAAGGTGCTGGCAGGGGCCGGCCCGGTGGCGCACTGGAGAGTGCGCCGCTTGGGAGTGCAGTGGCGCTCCCGCCAAGGGTTCGGATCCCATGTGGAGACCGGTTCCCGCTCACTGGCTGAGCGTGGTGCGGGCCCAACACCGAGGGTTGCGATCCCGTTGCCAGTCCCCGGTATGGGCGCGACACCAAGGGTTGCGATCCCGTTGCCGGTGTCCGGTACGGGCACGACACCGAGGGTTGCGATCCCGTTACCGGTCAGTAAAAAAGAAAAAAAAAAAAAAAAAAAAAAAAGGTGCTGGCAGCTGGCAATTCCTGTGCCCACCCTAGCATATTCTCAGAGATGGGAGCATGCTGCAGTGGCCCTGTGACCCTCTATTTGTGCCTACAGACAGCACTCCATCTGGCTGTACATCTGGACCAGCCGGATACAGTTCAGGCTCTGGTGCTGAAGGGGGCCAGCCAGGTGCTACAGGACCGGCATGGTGACACAGCCCTGCATGTGGCCTGCCAGCGCCAGCACCTGGCTTGTGCCCGCTGCCTGCTGGAGGGGCGGCCAGAGCCAGGCAGAGGACCATCTCACTCCCTGGACCTCCAACTGCAAAACTGGCAAGGTGTGGGCAACCTCAAGGCCTGTGGGCTGAGGAGGGGATAGAAAACAGGGACTCCACTCTCAGGGAAGGGAGGGTCCCAGCTTGTCCATTGATGCCCCTCAGCTCTAAGCATGTAGGTACTCAGAGCATCCTGGGTGAATGAATGATTTGATGTAGAACTTACCCAGCACCTACCTGAGCAGAAAGCTAAATTTTGCCCTAAAGATACTCAGTTTAATAGCGATTAGATGAACTCATCCATTCATTCAACAGAAATATACTAAGGGCCTTCTGTGTGCCAGACACTATCCCAGGAGCTATGCTTGCATCTGCAAAGAAAACAGAAAGATTGAGACAGACAAATATAAGAAGTGAATTATATAGTATGTTAAAAGGAAGTAAGTGCCATGGTAAAGTAGAGCACAGAGAGGGAAACTGGAATGTGGGGGTTGGAAGAGTCGATATGATTTTTAAATAGGAGAGCCAGGAATATTCAAACAGAGACTTGAAAGAAGTGAAGAATGTAAATTGGAATCGTGGGGAGAGGGAGGGTTTCAGACCAGAACAGAGATAGCAAAAAGGCCAGGGGAACACACAGGAGGAAATGGTCCCTTGTGTGGGGGGAGGGGGCTAGGGACATGAGGATGCCAAATGGCTTCTCAGAGAAGGCAGCTTCTGGACTGGGCTTTATGGCAAGTGGAGTTAGAGTGTGTGTGTTTGGGGCAGGGGGTGTATGTGTATGGGGGTATATGTATTAGAGGATGGTATGTTTTGGGGGGGTTGTCACTCAGCAGCCTGACCCCTGAAGCATGAAAGTTTCAATAACATGACTCTGAAAAGGTGGAAACTTTGAGTTCCTTTCCCCTCAGGCTCTTGAGGGGGTTTTTGGGTTTGCATTTTAACAGTCCTGTGATTAGAGGCATTGAGTAGGCAGCAGATCCCTTGGGGCTGAGGGGTAGGGACGTCCCTGAAGAGACAAAGGGAGTTGGTGGATGCAGATCAGCAGTCCCCACCCTCACCCCATCCCAGGTCTGGCCTGTCTCCACATTGCCACACTGCAGAGGAACCAGCCACTCATGGAACTGCTGCTTCAGAACGGAGCTGACATTGATGCACAGGTGAGGCGGCCAATCAGGGCACTGCCTGGCCCAGGGCCCGCTCCCCCCCACCTGGTTCAGCCACAGATACCCTGCCCAGTGGTTAGAAGTGGTGGCACTCACTTCCTTATCCAGAGCCCAGGCCCAGCACACTGCCTTGTGAAGGCCTTGGCCAACATCCTTATTCCTCATCAGGAGGGCACCAGTGGAAAGACAGCATTGCACCTGGCGGTGGAAACCCAGGAGCGGGGCCTGGTGCAGTTCCTGATCAAGGCTGGTGCCCGGGTAGATGCCCGCATGCTCAATGGGTGCACACCTCTGCACCTGGCGGCTGGCCGGGGCCTCAACAGCATCTCATCCACTCTGTGTGAAGCGGGTGCTGACTCCCTGTTGAGGAACGTGGAAGATGAAACACCACAGGACCTGGCTGAGGATGTAAGAGACATATGCTCTGCTGTGCTCTCCAGGGCTTCCCACACCAACGGCAGAGACAGGGGCTGACATTAGTTGAAAGGGCTAGTGAGTTAGGAGTCCTGGAGTGGAGCCAGGATTCTGCCACTCACCAACTGTGGGACCTTGGGCCAGCCTCTGCCCATCTCTGACCCTGTTTCCTTAGGTGGTTAGGACCAAGGACTCTTACAGGGGCCCTGCAGCTAAAATGAACTAGTGAAGCTAGCCAGGTGTAAAACAAGGGGGTGGTGAGGCCTGTGAGAAACTGAGAGCCATGCCTGAGTTTCAAATCTTGAAGAGTAGGAATGTAGGCCCAGTATTTCCAGGTCTTGGAATTTTTTGAGAAGTTAAACCCAGATTTTCTGTACAGTCCTTCCTATTTTTTAAATGTTCAATGTAAAAAAAATATTCAAAATGTTTTGAGTACATTTTCCCACCCCCCACTCCACCCCTTCAAGAAAAAAAACAAACAGGTTCATGGCCTGGATCACCTCTGAGGGCTCTCATAGCTCTGATATTCTGGCATTATCTTAGAAAATGAGAGCTTGCTTAAAGCCTCAGGACTCTGCCAAGTCCAGAGAGGCCACTATTTGGGGGATTAGTATGAAGATTTGTTTCCTGATGTTCTTCAACTCTCATTGGGGGAAGGGGGGTGAGCAACAGGTTTCCCTGGTCCCCTCCCTCACAGCTATCTTTTTCCCATGGTCCCTGATCTCGCTTCTCTCCACTCTCCTTCTCAGCCCCTTGTTCTCTTGCCCTTCGATGACCTGAAGATCTCAGGGAAGCCACTGCTGTGTACTGACTGAAGCCAGGGCAGGGTCTGGGGCCCTGGGGGCTCCACCTCTTGCCACCTGGAAGCTGGGGCCACAGCTGCTGCAATTTGGACCCAGGTGAGGTGCCCTTCTGGTGTCTTAGGGACTGCTGATGTCAGAGCCTGGGGCCACTACAGTCCTGAGCTGAGAGGAGAGATCGCAAGTGAAAGAGAGCTAGTCTGGAAGGAAGAGCATCCCAGGTGGACGGAGACTCTTGGAAGACCCCCAAAGCCCCAGGTATCCTGGGTGAAGCCTGTTTGCCTCTCTTGAAGATGGCAGAGGCTCTTGTCTCTACACATGTTGGATCAGCCTCAAACTGCCAACTAGTGGGAAAACATGGACTCTCCTGAGTGAGAAGAGACTAAAATAGGAGCAAGCAGGGCCCGGAGGGGGTCCTATCTTACTGCTGTTGAGGACCCTAAAACACTGTTGTTTAAAGACAAAGAAGGCCCTGAACGGAGATTTTGGGGAAGGGAAGTTTCAGTAACATGACACTAAAATGGTAGACTTCTAAAACGTTTTTCCCTTCTAGAATTGTGTGCACTTGCATGTCTGTGTACACTGGGGATTTTAGACAGGCCTGCCCTGTGACCTTGTGGTACAGGCAGAAAGAAGGAAATTGTCCCCTGAGCAAGGAAGGGCCTTGCAGAGTGTGGTAGGGGGCTAACAGTCCTCACGCTTTTCTCTCTGTTCACATACCCTTGTCCTTTCTGTGGAAATGCTGGGGGGTGGCTGGAGGGAATGAGAAGACTTGGGCCCCCAAGGCCTCACCACCACCTGGAGGCTACCATCTGGAGGAGCCTGCAGAGAAATATAGCCTAGGGAGGCTGGCACAAGGGAGCTGTTGACTTTTTACACCTTTTCTCCCATTCCACACGTTTGAGAGCCCTTCTTGGTCAAGCCTTTGCTAGCATGAAGAAGGGGAATAAGCCAATGTGGTCTCTGGCCACTTGGAGCTCATACACTAGTGAATGAGACAGCCAGCCATTAAAATCATAAACATCCAAATATGTAATTACAAGTTGCGATGGGTGTTGTGAAGGGAAATAATAGTGGAAAGGAGAACAGTGGAGTGGGTGGAAGGCCGTATGTGAGTGGTCTAGGACGCCTCTCTGAGGAGTGCCATCTCAACTCCGACATAAGGATTAATAAGGGATGGGGGGCAGAGCATTTGGGGAAAGGCCTTTGGTGAATTAGAGGAACTAAGGGCAAGCCATTGGGGCTGTACAGGGGGTGGTGAGTGGGTGAGGAAGATGGGCCAGGTCATGCAAAGCCTCGAGGGTCTCGGAGAGTAGGAGGACAGACAAAAATGGAAGGACAGACCCTGCCTGAAAACGGGAAAACTAACGTAAGAGGGAGTGCTAGGGACGCAGAGCCTCAATGTCCCCATCCACAAGATGGCGATGGTCATTCCTATCTCTGGGGTGGTTGTGAGGGCTAGAGGCGATGACGAAGCAGAGGCAGCGCACGGAACTGTCCCCCAGCCCAGGAGCAGCCCAGCTCCCCGGAACCGAGCCGCGTCTGCCTCCGGGCCGCGCGGGGGCGCTGTGGCGGATCGGCGGCCCGGGGCGCAGCGTGGTCGCGGCAGGGAGCGGGGGGTAGAGGGGTGGCAGCGGGGACGGAGGCGGGAAGAGCGCGGCACTTCCGCTAGCCGCTTGCTCACCGGCTGCTCCCGGAGGCGGTGGAGGGAGCGCGCAGCCCGGGGACTCGCATTCCCCGGTCCCCCTCCGCCCCAGGCGGCCCGGACCATGGACGCCAGGTGGGGGGCTAGGGCAGCGGCGAACCCACGTGACCGGGCCCCCGGGCCACGTGACTGCCTCAGCACGGGGGCCGGGTGGGGTCCCGGCTGCCAGATGGTCGGCCACATATCGCTACCTGGAGCCGGAGGGGAGGTGGGGTGTGGCGAGGTCTGATACTTCTCGGGGGACCTGGAGAGTGTCGGGCGGAGGCGCTGGGGACCCTAGCGCTTCGGGAAAGTGGAGGGCGGGGTGGGGGTGGGAGCGCCGCCTCTGACCTGAGCAGCCGGCGAGCGCTAGAAGAAACAGAGGGGACCTGTGTGGCCGGAGGGGTGGATCCGCCCCGGGGGAGAGAAGAGGCCCTGCCTGGCCCGCGCCGCCCCCCCTCCCACCACCCCAGAGAGAGAGGCTCTTTGTCTGGGCTGGCCTGCAGCGGATGGGGGCGGGTAGGAGACTCTGAGCCCTTCTCTAGTGTGGTCCCCCCTGGAGAGCCGAGGAGATGAGGAACTGCACTCTAATCCTTATGACCACTGTCCCCGCAGGTGGTGGGCAGTGGTGGTGCTGGCTGCGCTCTTCTCCTTGGGGGCAGGTGGGGAGACTCCTGAATCCCCTCCGGAGTCATGGACCCAGCTATGGTTCTTCCGCTTTTTGGTGAATGCTGCTGGCTACGCAAGCTTTATGGTACCTGGCTACCTCCTGGTGCAGTACTTCAGGCGGAAGAACTATCTGGAGACAGGTGTGTGGTCAAAGGCCGGAAAGTGGGCTAGGTCCGGATTGCGGGCGTTGGCCAGCAATCCAACGGGATGTGACTTGGAAAGGGAGGAAGAGAGGCCAGTAGGCCGGACAGCAGGGCAAGCTAGCTGCTCTGGGGAAGAGGAGATGCTGTGGAGATGGGCTTGACTTTGTGTGCCTTCTTCAGGCAGGGGTCTCTGCTTCCCCCTGGTGAAAGCTTGTGTGTTTGGCAATGAGCCCAAGGCCTCTGATGAGGTTCCCCTGGCTCCCCGGGCAGAGACGGCAGAGACCACCCCCACTTGGCAAGCCCTGAAGCTGCTCTTCTGTGCCACGGGGCTCCAGGTAGGTAGGCAGGCAGGCTCTGTTTCTTTTCCGGGGTTGGGTCCCGGTGGGCAGGGACTCTTTGAAACCAGTTTTCATCGTACCAGCCCTAAAGGCTTGCTGGTTGGTGTGTTGTGTCCCCCTTCTCCCAGGGGCACACTGCACCACCATCTTTTTTGGTGTCTGTTGGAAACGCTGTCTTGTCTTTTCTCCTCCTCCTCTTCCCTTTTCCAGCACTGGTACTGAAAGTTAACTGTACACTGTTATTTCATGGTATCTAGTGTGGAAGAGGGGCTTTCTCATACCCCCTTTTCTCTGACTTGCATTATACTTCCTCCTACGCTGATGTACCTCATACTATAAATTCACTGATAAAAGTTTGGGGGAGCCTTTCAGCCTTCCCCCGGGGCTGCATGTTAGAGGGGTGCTGAGTTGCTGACCACATTGCATTTTGGAGTCTACCTTTTACACCATGTTGAACTACAGGTATCCAACCCTGAGAATTCTTGCCTCCCTGAGTTGGTTGAACATAGGAAAATACTTTGGAGTCAGCTCTAACATACTGTGTAGACAGACAGGGGTAGCCCTAGTGTATTTGTTATTGTAAGTTTTTCTCACACATTTGATTCCCTTCAATGTGAATCCAGACTTGGGAGAGAAGAGGAAACATCTACAGAGGAATCAAAAAGATGTATGCTGTCCATTTAATCTTTTAGACATCATCCTGAGTAAAAGGAAGTTTGCTGAGATCTATTTTTGTCTACCTTTTCCTTCTCCCGCTTATTGTCTCCTGTCTCTACCCCTCCCCAACCCAGGTGTCTTATCTGACTTGGGGTGTGCTGCAGGAAAGAGTGATGACCCGCAACTATGGGGCCACAGCCACATCACCAGGGGAGCGCTTCACAGACTCACAGTTCCTGGTGCTCATGAACCGAGTACTGGCACTGATTGTGGCTGGCCTTTACTGCCTCTTCTGCAAGCAGCCCCGGCATGGGGCACCCATGTACCGGTACTCCTTCGCCAGCCTGTCAAATGTGCTTAGCAGCTGGTGCCAATATGAAGCTCTCAAGTTTGTCAGCTTCCCCACCCAGGTGCTGGCCAAGGCCTCTAAGGTGATCCCTGTCATGTTGATGGGAAAGTTAGTGTCTCGCCGCAGCTATGAACACTGGGAATACCTGACAGCTGGCCTCATCTCCATTGGGGTCAGCATGTTTTTGCTGTCCAGCGGACCAGAGCCCCGCAGCTCCCCGGCCACCACACTCTCGGGTCTAATCTTATTGGCAGGCTACATTGCTTTTGACAGCTTCACTTCAAACTGGCAAGATGCCCTGTTTGCCTATAAGATGTCATCGGTACAGATGATGTTTGGGGTCAATTTCTTCTCCTGCCTTTTCACAATAGGTTCACTGCTAGAGCAGGGGGCCCTCCTGGAGGGGACCCGCTTCATGGGGCGACACAGCGAGTTTGCTGCCCACGCCCTACTACTCTCCATCTGCTCCGCATGTGGCCAGCTCTTCATCTTCTACACCATCGGGCAGTTTGGGGCTGCTGTCTTCACCATCATCATGACCCTCCGCCAGGCCTTTGCCATCCTTCTCTCTTGCCTCCTCTATGGCCACACTGTCACTGTGGTAGGGGGACTGGGGGTGGCTGTGGTCTTTGCTGCCCTCCTACTCCGAGTCTATGCCCGAGGCCGCCTAAAGCAACGGGGAAAGAAGGCTGTCCCTATTGAGTCCCCTGTGCAGAAGGTCTGAGGGGCTGAAAGGGGGCCTGAAGGATGAAGTGAAATAGGACCCTCTCACCACACCAGTCCTCTCCTACTGTAACTTGAGGCAGTGGCTCAAGGGCAAAATGCAGGTTCTCAGTATCATAAGCCAGCTCTGCAGCTGGGGGTGGGAGCCCAGGAGGCAGCCTTCCCCCCTGCTTTGCCTTAAGTCACCCATCCTTCAATAGGCAGGCTTTTCTCTACCCCAGAGAAGAGTCCTTAGCTTAAGCTAGGACGGGGTGGCTGTCAGGAGTCAAGAGGACAAGCACCTTCTAGACTCCTCCCCCAAGTTCCCTGAAGTCTGACCCTAGCCCTTGGCTGTACCACCAGCACCTGATGTACTGCTTGTCCCCCATCTTGAGAGGGAGACCCCCTCGGATACCTGCATTTCTTACTCTGGTGAGAAAAGCACAAGTGTTAGAGGCTCCAAATGCTTTCTCAGGAGGTTGAGTTAAAGATGGTGCTGCGCTGAGGGGGCTGGAGAACCCTGCCCAGCACCACCACCCTCATGCTCCCGGACCCCTAGGCTCTGCTCCATGAGCCAGTTGCAGGTTTTGGTACTTTGGAAATGTAACTTTTTGCTCTTATAATTTTATTTTATTAAATTAAATTGCTGCAGTGGACTTAGTCCTATGTTTTTGTTGGCTGAAGGCATCAGTGTTGCGTGAATCATAAGCAGCTACACACACCAGTGAGTTTTTATAGAAGAGTTAACTTATACTTTGTACCTACCATATAAACCAGAAAAACTTATAACTTCGTGTGTTCAAGATAACAAGGACAAGGGCCAACACCGTGGCGCGCTCGGGAGAGTGCGGCACTGGGAGCGCACCCGCCGCAGGTTCGGATCCTATATAGGGATGGACAGTGTGCTCACTGGCTGAGCGCGGACACCAAGCCAAGGGTTGCGATCCCCTTACTGGTCACAAAAAAAAAAAGATAACAAGGACAGAGAAGCTAAGGAAAAAACAGCATTATATTCACTTCACAAGGGAGAGTAGAATTGTATAAAACTGCATCTTCTTTATTTTGCATACTTTAATTCCCGAACAAAATAAACAAAAAAACCACAATACACGAAATACTTGAATTAGGAAGGGATGGGGCTCGAGGCCCTTGTTTCCTGCCTTTACACACAAAGACAGGAGAGAAAAAAAGAGACATCAGCAGAGAAAGCCAGGTGGGACAGGGCCACTCAAGGCTGCTACAGGAGTTATGAAGACACTATACAGAGAGCACAAAGTTTCCAAGAAGCAGCTCCTAATCTACTTCTTCCATGCGAGAGGCATCCTCATCCCCCTCGAGGGGTGGGATCTCATCAGGAACCGTAGCACTAGGTTCTTCTGCTGATACTTCATCTTCATCAATGCCTAAAAGTAAACAGAAAGCCATGTGAGATCTGAACCAAACAGCACTAAGTCAAATCTGAGACTAGTTCGACAGTCCCTTGCCACACCAGGTAACAAAGCTACTTACCTAGGCCTAGCTTGATCATGCGGTAGATGCGGTTGGAGTGGGTCTGGGGATCCTCAAGGGAGAAGCCAGAAGAGAGGAGAGCAGTCTCAAACAGCAGCACCACCAGGTCTTTAACAGCCTTGTCATTTTTATCTGCCTCAGCCTTCTGCCGCAGTGTCTCCACAATGGGGTGGTCAGGGTTGATCTCCAGGTGCTTTTTAGCCATCATGTAGCCCATTGTGGAGTTGTCCCGAAGGGCCTGGGCTTTCATGATACGCTCCATGTTGGCTGTCCAGCCATAGGTGCTAGTCACAATGCAGCAGGGTGAAGACACAAGTCTATTGGAGATTGTCACCTGTGGACGCATTAACAAAATTCTTAAATTTGTATTAGATCAAAATAGCCCTTCAAGATGAGACAGTAGCTTAAGTTTCTACTCTCAGAAGTCACTGAAACAATACCTAATCTTCACCAAACTTTACAGAAACAGCAGCCTTAAACCTGGCTAAGGAAGAGAGCAAGATGTTAAGAGTGGCTCTAAACAGAATAGGCTGCCTAAAATCACTAATTATTTAGCAACATGGGATTCTGAGAGCAGTCCCAGAGGTGTAAGATACAAAATATATCCTAGTCCCAAGAATTGCTTACCTTCTCAACCTTCTTATCCAAGATTTCTTTCATGAGCTTGCAGAGGTTCTCAAACTTGGCCTTGCTCTCCTCCATCTTCTTCTTCTCCTCCTCATCCTCAGGCAGCTCCAAACCCTCCTTAGTAACTGACACCAGGCTCTTCCCATCAAACTCCTTGAGCTGCTGCACGCAGTACTCGTCAATAGGCTCAGTCATATACACTACCTCAAAGCCCCGCTTCCGCACTCGCTCCACAAAAGCAGAGTTGGCCACCTGTTCTTTGCTCTCACCTGTAGGGTTATTAAATGTGACTCACGAATCAAAATGTCTCATACTGCCAGTTCCCAGGTAGTCCTGAATGTCCTCCCCAGCCCAACTCCCATGGAGGCTTTGTTCAGACCCAGGTTCCAACGTACCGGTGATATAATAGATGGACTTCTGTGTCTCCTTCATGCGAGACACATACTCTGACAGAGAAGTCATCTCATCTCCAGACTGGGAGGTATGATAGCGCAGCAGCTCAGAAAGGCGTCGCCGATTAGTGGAGTCCTCATGGATTCCAAGCTTTAGGGGTGGGAAAAGAAAAAACAATCCAGCTTATCTGGTAATGAACTTACTTTATGTGAATGGAAAAATTTACTCAGGACCAGCCCATGGCTCACTTGGAAGAGTGTGGTGCTGATAACACCAAGGCCACGGGTTCGGATCCTATATAGGGATGGCCAGTTAGCTCTCTTGGGAAAGCGTGGTGCTGACAACACCAAGTCAAGGGTTAAGATCCCCTTACTGGTCATCTTAAAGAAAATGAAAATTTACTCAATTATTAAAAGTAATCAAGAGAAATAGTGCCTCCTTACCTTTAGATTCTTAGAAAATGCCTCGTAGAATTTCTTGTAGTTCTCCTTGTCTTCTGCTAGCTCAGAGAAGAGCTCAAGGCACTTCTTAACAATGTTTTTGCGAATGACTTTTAAGATTTTGCTCTGCTGGAGCATTTCTCGGGAGATGTTCAAGGGCAGATCCTCAGAGTCAACCACACCACGAATAAAGTCTGCAATCAGAGTACAAAGCTTAGTAAAAAAAAAAAAAAAAAAAGAAAGAAAGAAAGAAAGAAAAGAAAAAGGAAGCCAGACCTGATCACCTGGATTCAAATAGAAGGCTCTTATTTGCACCCTAAACCTTCACTTGCTATGTGCAAAGAATCGTTAGTTATCAAGGATAAAGAGTTTATTTAATCCCAGTAGAATGGTGAAGGCCCAATTTACCTAACTACAGTAGATCAAGGATATACTCACTGAGATACTCTGGTATTAACTCATCACAGCTGTCCATGATGAACACACGACGGACATAAAGTTTGATGTTGTTTTTTTTCTTCTTGTTCTCAAAAAGGTCAAAGGGAGCCCGACGAGGGATGAAAAGCAATGCCCTGAATTCCAACTGACCTTCCACAGAGAAATGCTGAGAAGAAACCCAAGAAATGAACTAATAGTATATTTTAGGACAACAGTGTCTTTTAGTCCCAAGGCCAATATAACTGAAACTGGACAATGACCCTCCCCCAACTCAAGCACTAGTAGACACTATAGGAAGCCCTTGAGAAAATTAAGCCCTAACACCCTAAATGAATCTAGAATAGTATCAGCTTTGTACATTTATCCTTGAGTGAATGAGACAACAGTCACTCCAATCAGAGTTCCTGATGTGTAAGATTGCCGTGGGCATTACTCACATTTCTATCATAAGAAAAAACTAGGTCACTGGGGAGGACAGCATTTCTCCGTGGCAGGGTCATCAGTGAGTGAACTCATGTGGCTCCACGGCTTTCACTGTTCTCAGCTACCAACAAGTTGGGCAAGTGTTTGTGTCTAACTCCCTTGCAAGACCTTCTACCTGCACCCCTCTCCAGCTGAGCCAATGTGCAAGACTTCTCACCTTGACTGCCAAGTGGTCTTCCCAGTCATTGGTGAGGCTCTTATAGAATTCTCCATATTCCTCCTGGGTGATGTCATCAGGGTTTCTAGTCCAAATGGGCTTAGTCTTGTTCAGTTCTTCCTGATCAATATACTTCTCCTTTATCTTCTTTGTTTTCTTTTTCTTATCCTTACCACTGTCATCTTCCTCATCTGAGCCCACATCTTCAATCTTGGGCTTCTCCTCATCATCCTTCTCTTCCTCCTCCTTCTCACCTTTCTCTTCCTCTGCCTCATCATCACTGATTTCCTTCTCTCGTTCCTTCTCCAACTAAGGTACCACAACCAGTAGTCAGTATGAGTACAGAACACCATGAAAAACAAAACCCAGGGACCACGAAATTTTCCACAACAGTCATCCAGCATTCAATACAAGAAAGGTTACCAGTCCATACTCACATAAAGAGTGATGGGATAGCCAATGAACTGCGAGTGCTTCTTCACCACTTCTTTGACCCGCCTCTCCTCTAAGTACTCTGTCTGGTCTTCTTTAAGGTGGAGGATTACTTTGGTACCCCGGCCAATGGGCTCACCTTGAAAAAGTAGATCCCAATAAAATATAAGGAGGTGAAACTAAAAGCAGAACTATAGTGAGAGTTCTGCTTTACAGAGAAAGAAGCTCAAAATTTCTACTGGTTCCTTCAGGGAATCCTAACATTTACACCTTGTAACAGGACAGCCAACTTACCATGGTCAGCACGCACAGTGAAGGAACCCCCAGCAGAAGACTCCCAGGCATACTGTTCATCATCGTTGTGCTTTGTGATCACAACAACTTTCTCTGCGACCAGATAAGCAGAATAAAAGCCAACACCAAATTGCCCAATCATGGAGATGTCTGCACCAGCCTGCCAGAAGATTTTAAAAAGTCAAACAGAAGTTTTCATGAAATAGCAAACCACAGAACACTGATAAATGTAAGCTGTGTGTGGACAGTTAAAATGCCACATACCTGAAGAGCCTCCATAAAGGCTTTAGTACCAGACTTAGCAATTGTTCCCAAATTATTTATGAGATCAGCCTTGGTCATGCCAATGCCTGTGTCCACCAAAGTCAAGGTACGTTCTTGAGGATTGGGGATGATGTCAATTTTCAGCTCTTTACCACTGTCCAACTTGGAAGGGTCTGTCAGGCTCTCATAGCGAATCTTGTCCAAGGCCTGAAAACAAAAGAAATAGCAATTTATTCATCTTCTTAGATCCCATCTCTTCACCCAAAGTAAATCTCATTTTGTACTGCCAAACAGCCTCAATTCTGACTGACTTCACTTAAATCTTAAGAACCACATTCAGTTAGTTACATCACCCCACTTGTCCAGGACACAGTCCCTTTCTCTTTCAAGCTCAAGATGGCCACACGTAGTACGGCCATCTTTATGGAACAAGTGCTGGTTTATCCCCTTCAATAGTAGCCTTCAGCAAATATCAAACCACCCTTTCACCCTCTTTGGAGTGCTCAAAAAGTAAAAAATAAACCAACTCACATCTGACGCGTTAGAGATCAACTCGCGAAGGAAAATTTCCTTGTTGGAATAGAAGGTATTGATGATAAGAGACATAAGCTGGGCAATTTCTG